CATTAAGAACATTGAAAATTCTCAATTTTGTTATTTTAGAATCCCCTAATGCAAAACCGCGTTCATATTATACGAGTTGCCCAGAAATATTGTTACGTTCTGTGCATCGTTGACCTTCTCTATTATTACTTAATTTTATTACGACATCTTGCTGTGTATAAATATATATATACTATATACATATATTATATATGTATGTATATACTTGTAGTTTGAAGTCGACCAGGAAAAATATTAGGAATGTGGGGGTACACTAAACCGATTTATTAATTTAAGTTGTTAAAAATATCATATTAATTTCAGGAAAAGATTTTTAAGGAAATATATCGTTTAGTAGACTTCGATACTACTTTAATAATTGCAATAATACTTAATTTATCGTCATATATGGTTCATAGTTTAACTTCTGTTATTTACGAGTATGTAATTTTTTCAGTTTTAAAAATAAAACTTAAAGTTTGATTATGAATTATTAAACTCCATTAGGCACGTRTTTCATGACACATACTATATCCACGTATGTATATACAAAAACAACTAGAACTGAATTAATGAGCTTTGTTAGTTTTTGGAAAAAGATTCTCTGAAGCTTGCCGTAAGATTTTCAATTCGCGCATAAAATCTCCTTTGTCCTCCTCATGGCTGTGGGATCTTATAGCAGGTGTTGACACCTGAGTTCTGTACGCTTGCTCCACTCTGTTCAACAGCGTTAGGTCATTATGGTCATGGTCATGATCGTTTCCACTTGCGCAACTGCCATGACTGTGACTATGTYTTTCTGATCCTGCAAATATTTGAATATTAAAACAAATATTAAAGTTCGCCAAAAATTTAATATAATTTGCTAAAAATCATTTCTTAAATTAAAATCTGTACATATTATTTTAACTTTATTATTTTTTTCGAAATTTCTATTTTTCTTGTATGTCTTGGAAATCTATTTATTTATTTAAAAGCTTACGAATTCATTTAAATAACAGAAAAGAGCTCAAAAAATGTTGTACTGTGCTAAAAAACAATATTAAGGTCGCCAGTAGTCGAAATTCAACCAATAAAAAATGCAATTTATTAACAATGTTAAAAGTACTTGCTATAAATCTTATTGATGAACCATGTTTACAAATGAAGGGATCAAAATTAGGCGGTATTTAAACCAATGCATATTTTAACGAACTTCGCAAAGGAACTGAATTATTATCAACAATGTCATCAATTTCAAATAAATTTAAATTTGCAGTTATTGTAGATTTGTGCCCATTCTAATTTTATACCAGTTGAACGTTTCATTCCAATTCCTTATAAGTTCTTGAATTTTCACGCATTCCATTTGTATTTAAATAAATTTCCCACTATATATACTCTTTCTGTTTACTCGTTTGAGCCATTTATATTAGCCGTGTTTTAAAGGATCGCCACCAGCTAATAGCTAAATCAAGGACAAATACAATCCGCTTAGCTTATTTCATATATTCACTTAAAAATTAATTGTGTTGGCAATGAGGACAGAAACAATCAACTGATATACACTTAAGTTTGAAGTTTTCAATTTGTAAACGGAATAATAATATACTGTACAAATATATTTATTATATTTACTTGTGGTTTAGAATACAAAAAACTGAAAGCAAGTGGTCATATTTGTCTTAATTTTAACTAAATACTCATCCAAAAAATATGTAATTTTAGTTTGTTTACATTTTCATCTGTCAAAATGAGGTTTCTCGCTATTGCTGTCTCTTATACACATCTAGATGTGTATAAGAGACAGCTTCTATTCCTGAAGTGCTATAATGAGAGGAAGGATGAGTTCCTGCATGCGCGGAAGAAAAAGTTCGCAAATGAAAACATTTTTTTCCACAGGATACAACAATTAATGYGGCTGCCCTTGTATCATAACTGCGAACGCTTTTGAGTGCCTACAAAACAGCGAAAGACAACGAGAAGCAGACTGGCACTTCTCCGTGCACAGTACCTTATATGAGCGAAATGGACGAAATTTGTGGCGAAARTTGCTTGGTGTCCAACAACCACACCATGAACATTGGGACAGATCCTCAAGAGGCATTGGTTGAGTGTAGTGGTTAGTTAAAATTTAATGTTCATTATGTATTGCTTATATTGCATTCGTTTTTTATATTTTTAAATAGGTAAGGATTCAACTGATTTTCAAACAATGCTCGACGATATGCCAAGTACTTCAAGGCAGAGCCAGTCTGCACTAAGCCGTAGCATGTGCAGACCGACTGCAGTGTATTCACAGGAGCCGAATGCAGCAAATCCTGTTCCAAATCGTCGTTATCGTAGAAGCGCTAAAGAACGATATTTTGATAARAAAAAATCGAACAAAAAAGGAAAAGTGCTGAAATGCACGCGAAGTTTTACGCGAATATAGAAAAACAAATGCAGGATTTGGCCGAAAAACAAGATTTTCTAATAGAAATTGAACAAAAAAAAACTGAAAATAAAAGAAGAAAAATTAAAAATTTTACAGCAGTCTTTTGTGAATAAAAATTAGAAAAGCTACTTGATTTCATAACGAGTATATATTGTTTTATTTAACGGAAATATACTCGTATAATCAAGCTTATCATAAAATGAACATTTTTTACATACAAATCTTGAACAAATGCATACGTATATGTACGTGTTTACGATGGAAAATGGAAAATGTTGCCCTAAAAGTGCATTTTAAAATTAAAAAAATTAAAATTTATTAATTTCCTCGTGTTAAAATTGTAAGCAACTGATTCCGACGATCTCCACTTGCTTCTCTCGCCAGGTCATTAGCAGGTTCTTGCTCCTGTTCGGCACTTCCAATTTGAGGGTCAATAATTGTATCGTCGTTTGTAATAATACATATATTGTGCATAATGCATGCCYTTGCAACTAAATTCGAAATTGCWCATAAATTTCTGTGCTCCGTAAATTTAAGAAGACTTCGGAAACGTYCTTTCASTGCTCCAAATGCATTTTCAACAACTATTCTTGCTGAAGAATGTGTTTAGTTAAAGYTGATTTGATTATGCGTTAACGAACCATAATCTTTAAACACCAGGATGAGGTAATTTCTGCAAGGSTATGCCGAGTCCCCGAGAATAAAAGTAGAATTTGGAAATAAACTTTCCATATTACTTTCCGATTTTCTATAAAATGCTGACATTTTTAGCACTCTAGAGTCATGATATGATCCGGGTTCAACACAATAAAAATCAATAAACTTTTTATCAGCATCCCCAATGGCCTGCAGAACAACACTATAATTACGTTTACGATCAAAATATATATGTTTGTCTTTTATTGGTGCATTAATTGTTATATGGGTACAATCAATAGCACCAATAACACCTGGTATTTGTTTCCTTTGTAAAAACTTGCGAGTTGTTTCTTCCAATGCATCTCCAGTTGGCCACTTAACAAACTCATGGCCTATTGRGATAACCCACGCGACAACCCGACGAACAATCCCCATGCTGTGGACTTCGTTACACCAAACAATACGGCTAGTTGTTTGTAGGTAATTGCATTACTTAAATACCATACGTACATGTTTTGGCAGAAGTTTTGGTTTTGTTCACTGTCTTCATATCTTCCTGCAAAAAATACTCGTACAGAAAAGTCTCATAACAAAAACRAAGCATACCTATTAAGTAATCTAAAGTGGTGCGGCTCAAACGAAAGTGTGATTTGAAATCCTCATYCCCAAAATTATCTATGATGTCCACAAAATTAGAACATTTTGGATGCTCTMTCTGCTCTTGTTCTGAATCCTCCGCTGACGAACTTGATTCAGCAGCTAAACCAAAAAGTGGTCAATATTTCCTTATGCTCTTCATTATTTGAACCAAGC